CAGCGCCTGCCACAGCGCCGCGCCGGGGATGGGCAGGGGCCAGCTGCGTCCTGGGGGTGGGGGCGCCCTGCTTCCCCCCGGGGCAGGCCACGAGCACACGCTGAGGTGGGTCCCCCCGCAGACACGAGGTCCGTGCCGGAGAGAGGCAGCGCCTGCAGCAGCCGCTCCATCAAGAAGGAGGACGACTCGTCCCAGTCCTCCACCTGCGTGGTGGACACCACCACCAGAGGCTGCCCGGAGGAGGCCAGCGCCTGGCAAGGTTTGCACCGCGAGGGGCCGCGGCCACCTCCCTCTGGGCCCTGAGCTCTGCCGCCTGCACGGCCGTGCCTGCGTGCGGGTGACGCGGAGGGCGCTTGTGCTGGGCCCTGCGGCCCGGGCTCAGCTCCCAGCCCACCTCCCATGGCCGCTGGCCTGGGTGTGCGGTCAGGCTCTGGTCCTGTGTAAAGTCCCGCTGGCCCTGAGCGGCGGGGTGGTGGGAGGGGCTGGGCGGGGGGCGGGCAGCTCACGGTGAGCGCCGTCCCCAAGTCGGGTGGGGCCCGGGTGGCCAAAGCGCTCTCACACCCCCCCGTCGGGCAAGGCCCTGGCACCCCGGCCCGGCCGAGGTGGCGTGGACTCGGGAACGGCGCCCTGGGCATGGGGTGGGGGCTGCACGGCCCCAGTCCTGTGCTGCATCTGCTGACAGGGGGGCGGGGCAGGGAGGTCGGCAGGGCTGCCCCGCAGCCCCTCTGACCTCTGGCCTCCGACCGGCTCCCGCAGGTCGTTTCCAGCCCTCTCTGGTCCAGGGCCTCCTGGCCGTGAGCCTGGCTGCCAATGCACTGTTCACCTCGGCCTACCTGTACCAGAGTCTACGCTGACCAGCTGCAGCACCCCGAGAGTCTGGGGGTGCGCCCAGGTGCATGCTGCTTCCACCACTGCCGCCTCAGAGCCCTCGAGGCCCTTGTCCTTGCTGGACGAGTCCAGATCTCAGGCCGTCTCTTCCTCACCTGCCGGACTGCGGGCCGGGCCGCGCTCTCCCGCCCGCCTGGGCTGACCTGGCTGAGTGTCTGGTGCTGCTGACACTGGCCCCAGGCCAGGGGTTTCCAGGGCTGTGTGGCCCTGGGGTGCCATGCTGCCCCCATACCTGTGGGCTGTGCCCACATCTTTGTACTGTACTGCTCTGTCCACTGGGGCTGCCCAGAGCCCCCCTAAGCCGAGGTGGGGAGCAGTCCCTGTGTCTCCCGGGCTCGGCCAGCCCCTGGGAGAGTAATCCTCCCATGGGCTCCTGTGGGCTCGCGGGTGTCGGGGTCCCCTGCCCAGGGCTCCTCAGAGCACCTGGGTCTCGGCCCAGCTGGACCTTAGAGACCCTTGTAAGCATCTGCCCTCCTGCCTGCATGCACCCCACTTTACCACCTTCCCAGGCAGCACCCCACTGCCCTGAGAACACTCTTCAGGGCCCCCCAGTTCCAGGCCCACAGTCCTGGCCCCTGCATCGCACTGTCCCCTGGGACCTGGCTGGCCTCGGGCCCCTGGTGCTGCCGATGACCGGCAGGTGGAGGCAGGCAGCCTGCTGGCCTCGAGCCTGGCCCCCGCCCTGCCACGCCCCAAGCCCCTTCACCCCCTGAAGCCCGCCTTCCCCCTCGCCTTCTCGCACCGGGTCGGCCCAGCACAGCCTATGTCCGAGGCCGCCCGCTGGCTCCCCGCCCCGCTCTCCCACACCACCCGACTGCCGACGGGCTGGGGTCCCTCCTGCCAGGGGACCTCATCTGCACAGGGAGCCTCCCGAGCAATGCCGCCAGAACCGCGCCGGCCCTGGGCCCGGGGGAGGTCCAGCGAGTCGGGCCACAGCGCGGGAGAGGGCTTCACTGTCATTCAGGGATAAAGTTTGATTTTATTTTTCTACACATTTTTGCAGGTCAGGCATCTTGCTAAAAAGCAGGATGCCCCCAATTCTCCCTGCCAGGGAGTTTAGTTTTTTTAAGCTTTGGGTGCTTTTTTAGTAATTGTTTTTACCATGGGGCCCGCTCTGACATGCCCGCCCCGCCCCCTCCCGTCCTAAGAGCTACTGTTCCTGCCTGCCCGCCCGACCTCTGGGAGCTGGGGCTCCAGGGGCCGCCCCAGGACTCTGCGTCCGAAGCCAGAGACAGTCCAGCTCGGGGGTTGCCGCTCGGCCGCTCCGTCCGGCAGACGTGGGCGTCGAGATTTGTTATTTTATTTTTGTCTAACAAATCCAAGCTCCGGCCCCAGACGCCTCTCCAGCCCCCGGACGGCCCGCGCCGGGCCCCGGACCAGCACCCGGGACTGGGGCGGGGTGAGGTGCACTTATGTTTTCTCAAAAAAAAACACAACCTTATTTTTCTTTACAAAAGCAAAAAAGGAAACCAAAAAAGTACCAACCTTTGAACTACACCTCTGCTGTCTTGTCCTCATTCCGCTCGCAGGCAGGGCGGGCCTGAGGCGCCCCCTGGGCGGGGAGGACCCCGCTGGCCCCTCAGGCCTCTGCGGTGGCCGAGAGGACAGCGGGCGTCCTCTGGTGCCCAGGTGGAAGCCACGCCAGGGTCCCGTGAAGGACGTAAGATGTGGCCAGGGCGTGGAAGGAACCGGAGGGTGGCGACGAACTCGGCGCACTCAGGCGTGGGGAGCGGAAGCAGCATCGTGAGGTAGACTAGTGGGCACTGATGACCGGCCCAAGGTCAGCAGAGGGGTGTGGATGTTTTATTTTTTTCACTTTCTCCAAAGTGAGGCCCGTCCCTGTGGTTTCCACAGCCGGGCTGGCCCAATCCAGGAGAGGAAGCTGGCCCAGGGCTAGGGGCCCGCCCTAGCTGAGGTAGCATGATGGGGTGAAGCCAGACCACCAGGCAGAGGGGGCCCCCGATACGCACCAGTCTGGGTGGGGGTACCTGGCACAGCTGCTGGGACGGACGGGCTGCCCTGAGGCCTGGACCTGGCTACCAAAGGTAGCCGCGGGGGTCACACCCCGCAAGGCTCCCAAAGATCCCAGGAGGTGTGGGCCCAGGTGTGCACACCCTGTCCTGGCGGTGCGGAACCTGCACGTCCATGGGAGCCGGAGAGGCCCGCCCTGGACGCGCAGCCCTGTGGACCGGAGGCTCCACCTGGCCGCCTCCCCCACCAAGGGGCTTCTTTCCTGGGTGGGTCTGCACGCTCCTTCTGACGTCACGTCTGTTGTTTCCTCATGCAATGGAAGTGGGGTGCTGCAGAAACCCGAGAAAGACAAGTGAGCAAGAGCAAATGCCCCGTCATCCTCAGCCGAAAGGCAGGGGCCGCCGTCTCTCGCCGCGTGACTGGGCACTCGGCGCCCCACCCCCGGCGGCTGCCTTCCTGGAAGCGGGCAGGGTGGTGCCCCTGCTGCTGTCCGTGGGCAGCAGCCAGCACCCGTGGCGGTTCTGTGTGGCAGGTGTGGCAGGCTTCCGCTGGGCCACGGCTGTTAATGAACCACCCTGTGGAAGGCCCGTGAAGGTTCTAAAAGTTTTACATACATTGTTCTAGAAAAAGCCAGAAAATGTCCAGGAAATGGGGTCCCCCTCGTGGCACGAGGGTTTAAGTCTCAGCGCTAAGGGGCTGTCCTCAGCTACTGCAGCAGGAGTTCGATCCCTGGCCAGGGAGTGACCCCCAGGGCGCAGCAGCCCCCTCCTGACCTCGCTGCCCCCTCAGCAGTGTGTCTCAGTAGCTCCGCCTGTTCTGCTCGCTACTCTCTGGTGAGCCCTCAGGCCTGCACCCTGCCTGCTCTGCTCCCCAGTTTGACCTCTGGCCTGCACCCCAGTTCTTATGTGCATAAATAAAAACTTTAAAAATAAATAAAATTTCTGAACCAGCATGCCAGGTGAGCAGACAGGGTGGAGGGGGTCTGAAGTTTGGGGTTCTCCAGTGAGGTCCACAAAAAGATGGTTTTCAGCCTGGACTTGAGGGAAGACTCGGGAGGGAGAGGAGTGGGTGGGTGCCCAGCACCCCACACCAGCAGAGCCTTCCCTGTACTGAGCCCCACCGCATTTAAACAGAACCTTGGGGCCTCCCTCGCCCAACTGGGCACCCCGGCAAGGGTCGGGCATTCCAATGACCTCTAGGTCTGTCAGAAGTGATCAGAGGGGACCAATCCCCTATCAGGGGGCACCAGGGACCTGGTGTGGCTCACCCCCAAAAGGCTTTTTGTGGTTGCAACTCCTGGCATTTTGCTACTGGGGTAGCAGTGGGGAAAGCTGCCCTGAGCCCCTGAAGGGCTGGGGTGCAGCCAGCTGGGCTTGGGGGTCAGTGTGGAGTTGTACACAGCCCCTGTTTACTTGGTAAGGGCAAGCTGGCTCACAGCCAGGCAGGAGGGGCCGGGACTCACGGCACCGTCCCTCGGTGCATCACCAGTCAGATTTGCTCGTAAATGACTGAGTAAGGGACATCTGGCGTCGGATTCAGTGGGAGGCAAAAGGGAGGTGTCCCCGTCCCACCCGCCATGCACGGGTAGCCGAGGTAGACTCGGGGAGCACCCCGGCCATGACACGACCGGTCCGAACAGTCTTGGAGCTGGAGATGAGGCTGTAAGTGGGGTGTTTGTGCAAAGGCCCTGGGGCCAGCGTTCAAGGACTTGCAAGGTGAGTGCGGCAAGAGCCCCAGCGACAGCTGTGGCGCAGGATAGGAAGGGGCCTGAGGATGTGAGGTTGAGGGGAGAGAAGATGGCAGCTGGCGGGGGCCGGGGCGGGGCGGCAAAATGACCCGTCTGACCCAGGATGGCCCTGGGCTTGGCGATTGTGACTGGAGGTGGGGGCAGGAACGTGCCCCGTTTGAGCGGTGGATGGCACACGGCTGGCTGGCCGGAGGGGCCGCCCTGGCCGAGGGGCACTGATCCGGCTGTGGGCACCTGCACAGGTGCTTTGGAGACAGGCATCCCGCCCGCCTTACCCCTTCCCTGGCCACAGCTCTGTCCCCCCCACCCGCTCCCAGGGACCCCCACCCGCCTCTCCCCACAGCGAGCCCAGCCGGCGGCCGCCTTTACAACGTGACCCGGGAGGGCGCAGACCTGGCTCCCTGCAGAAGCCGTCCACGATGGCCGAACGAAGGACATGTCCACACGTCCGCCGCGCTTCCAGGTCTCGGTGCCCAGGGGAGGTGACAGAGGGTCCCTGCCTTTGGGGGGCTCTAGGAGCCGGGGGCAGAGCAGGAACGGGCAGGAGCGGAGACGCGGAGCCTGGGGCGGGCACTTGGGCGGGGCCGTGGGGCCAGCAGCAAGGGCCACCCGTGGGCCCAGCACGACGCTCCAGCTCCCGCCCCCTCGGAGGTGGGCGCCGGCCGCGCTTCTGGCCTGGAGGCCGCTCCTCTCCGTGCCTGCTGACAGGCCTGCGGAGCTGGGTTTTGTCCGGAGATTTCATTTCGCTTTTTTAGCGGCCCCGGCAGGTCGTCACGAACTTACAGCTTCTGAGTCGCTGTGGTCGGGCTGGAGGCACCGGGCTGTCTATTTTGACTTTATAAATAGCCGAGAGGGGAAGTTGGATCCAATATTTCATTTTTATTTGGTCTGTTCACTCAAAACCCGCCAAGTGATCAGCTGCATTTGCTGATGACTTCACAAAAGGAGAAATGGACAGATGCCCGCGAGAGTGACCAGAGCCCAGCAGAGCAGGGTCAGAAGAGACGGAATTAGCAGCCTCCTTTCTGCCTTCCTGCTGAGTCACCAGCACGCAGCCTGAAACTGTTGCTTTTAGACATTCTACTCCCTGCCCCCAAGTGGCTAGAAAACATGCAATCAGTGTCCGTCTCCCAACGACCATCCTCGGTTAAAATCCAATGAGTTGGGCTCGTAGTAGTATCAGCTCATTCATGTGGCAGAGCACCAAGGGGAAGTGGGAGTGGACAAGCCCAGGGCAGCACGGCTCGATAGAGGTCCAGCCCCTTTCTGGGGGGACACAGTTTGTTCTGGGGACCCGGAGGACGGAGAACTAGCCAGCTTTTCCCCTACATGAAGTTGCCGGCACGTAGTAGGTGCTCAATAAAAGGTTCTCCATGCCCACTCTCGTTCACCAGTCCTGGCTTTGCTGCAGGGCTGCAGACACCCCCTCCTCCTCACGCGGTGGGCTGGGTACAGGCCGACGTCCATGCGTCCACTCAGCCGTGGGGTGAGCTATTGCTCCGTGTGGCTGGGAGGACGCCTGAGATTGCAGCTTAGAAGCCAGACACCGATGAAGACATCCTTTGCATAAAAAGAAGTGCAAGATGAGATAAAACCATGTGTAAGAGGAGGGGTGCTCCTGGAAGGGAGCCTCGGGGGTCTCTGCTGCTGGTCATGGTCCGTGCGTGCTCGGGTGCGGGGGGCAGGGTGATGGAGACTCGCCGAGCTGCACGCTGAGGATCTGCGAGCTTGGGGGAACGAACTGTCCCCCAGCATGAACAGGCCTAACCCCCCGGTGACTGTGTCTGGCGGCTGACCCTGTCATTATTCACAGCAATGATATACAATATTCAATAATGTAATAATTAATAACCATAATTAAGCTAAATGAGGCGATGGGTGGGCGACCCGGTCGAAGAGAGACAGCTGGTGAGCAGAGGACAGGCCCGGAGGACACGCCGCCTGGACGCCGGGACAAGCAAACCACTGACCGCTCGCCCTTGGCCTTCCAGACTCAAGACTGGGCAAAACCCACTTGCGCCCTCTGACGCCTCCGATCTGTGGCGTGTGGCCGCGTCGGCTACCCGGGGATGCCGCACTGACACGTCAGTCCAAGCTGAGCATCTAATGGCCCCGCCTCTCTCGGCTAGACGGCGCTGTGGGTTGAGATCCCCGCACAGCGCGGAGGTGATCAGAGCCTGGCCTTCTGGGGGGTGCGAGAACCCCCTGGGGTGGGGGGGCGAGCGCTCCCCATCTCATCCCGAGGCGTCGCTGGCTCCCCAGGTTGCGTCTCAAAGCGGGAGGCCTCGGCGCCTCTCGTGCCACGGTGCGAGGTTGGGTCCTGTGTGTTCCGGGGTTACTCTTAGTAACATCTCTTTTAATTTTTTGGTCTGTTTTGAAAGATTTATTTAGTTATGCACACAAGAACTGGGGTATAGGCCAGAGGTACCGGGGAAGTGAGAGGACTCCCCAGAGACAGAGTGGGGAGCAGAACAGGCGGATCCATAGCTGGAAACCCACTGCTGAGGGAGCAGCGGGGAGACAGGAGCCGTCTGCTGCGCCCTGGGATCCCTCCCTGGCTGGGGAGCGAACTTGTGCTGCAGGGGCTGCGGACAGCTTCCTGGGGCTGAGCTTTCACCGGGTGCACCACCAGGGAGGCCCAGTAACATTGTTTTAAAATACCATTTTACTACCATGAACTTCACCCTCTGGAGTGTCCGATTCACTGACTTCTGATAACCACCACTGTCCAGTTCTCGAACATCTTTATCAC